TGTTTATAGAAAATGCATAAGGAAGCTACATTATGGCAACTGCAAAGGGATTGAAGCCGAGATGCTAGATCAGGACCAATGACATTGCAAAATCTTTTTTGGAGTTTATCAAGAATTTTAAAATATATTTGCAACATATCTACGGACATGACACAGCGTACTGATGCATAACTATCTTTCTACGACCGATTCACTCCTATTTTATCTGCCATGTTAATAAAATGTTAATAAAAATATTATTGGTGCATCACGATCTTTCATGAAAATATCTGTATAAATACTTTTTTAGAATTTTTCTTATCTATTCTATAATTATTGATTTTTGGTGCATATTATGTCAGTTCTGAAAATGTAAACATCTTAATTTAAAACTGAAGAAGCACAATATCCCCCACACACATACCGACACACACACACACACACATATATATATATATATATATATTATTTCTAATTTTTCTATGACACGTGTTCGTTTAGAACGTGGGCGAACAAGGTTCTGAACAATTTTTTGTATCTCCAAGCAATTTTTGTCTTTTTACGATGTCTCCTAATCCTTATTCTGCCAACAATTAACATAAACAATTTCCTTATTATGTGTCCTCGAAATTTCTACTCTTTCCTTCAGGTGCTATGTATAAGCGTCTATATTCTTTAAAACTTCATCGCTGCTCACGTCTTCAGTCTATGTTATTATCAGCATCCTTCTCTCGAATCGCATTTTTGTTGACTTTCCTCTCTTTTCTGTGAAGAGATTCTTCAGTCTTCATGGCCATATAGTAGACCGATATTACATAATAGGTCAGTACTCATTTCTTTGTCTCTAACGAAATTTTCCTGTTTTTTAATGCTTTGCTTAGGGTCTGTAAGGCGTATTTTGCTATCCCATTGCACCTTAGGATTTCGTTGTACATTTTCGGATCTCTGTTAAAATACTTCCCAAATACTTAAAATGTTGCATATGCTTAATTTTGGGATCTACAATTTGTATTTCACATCTTGGGCTGTTCCTTTTCCTAATAACCAAATATACTATATTCTTTAAATTCATATTTCATTCTTTTTTCGCGATTTCTTTACTAATTCATGTAAAAGTTGCAGTAGTTTCCTTACCATGTCTGTTATCAACATTGTGATATCTGCATAAGATATGTTAAGATTATGGCTGCCAATAATGAATCCTGATAGATCTTCTAATTCTGCAGAAATTGTTTCCTTGTAAAGTCTGAATAAGTCTAATGAAAAGACTTTTCTTTCTCTCACGCCCTTCTCTATTTGTGTAGATTTACTAAAATTATTTTCAATCTGCATTCAAACTGTTTACTCCCGCCAGTTTAAGTTCTGTATTATTCAAATAATCTTCCCAAATAAATCAAGCTTGCTTAATAGTTCAAACATTCCATTCTAACGTACTTTATCAAACTCTTTCTCATAATCTAGAAAACACTCCTTTTCATTTGTATTGCTATTTCTGATATTCTGAGCATAAATATCACTTTTCTTGTTCCAGAGTATTTGATGTAACCGCCATATTTTGTGTCTAATTGTACTGCTCGCTTTATTCATCAGAATTCGGATAATTTTTGTGTTGTGATTCATTAGGATTATTAGATAGCACTATGAAAATGAATCTACTTCGGGCTTCCGGTATATCACCAAAGTCGTATATTTCATTTATTATTTCTGCATTTTTGTCAATGCGGACATCATCTAAAGCTGCCAGCATCTCTATTACAATCCCACCTGGTCCTGTGACTTTGTTCTTCCTTAATTTGATAAACTGTTCTCCTTACTGCCTCGGTTTCATGAATTTAAGCGTGCTACGAGATTGGCGACTAGGTCTCACAGTTTTACTGTTGAAATAGCTAGATGCAAACGTCTCGACTTTTATTTCGTAGAACTTTCATTTGTGGAACTCACTTCCGATTTCTCGTTTCCCTGATAACTACAATGATCAAAAATTTAAATGCAACGCCAAACGCCATCTTCTGTCTGAATCGTGTTCCTTTATTGCCTTGTTCTTCCGTAGTAAAGTCTTCTCATATTCTCATTCACACTCCTTGTAACTCCTCTGCATACTAGTGGCCTTTCTTGGGATGGAATGACAAAAAGAATTGCTGATTTCCATTCAGATATTAATATTTCTGGTGTTTCAATATTTTTGTGTATTGCTGGCTGTTCTCTTTCGTCGTGGAACTGATTTCTAATCGATTCATTCTATCTCTGAAGTATTTTTCTTTTTCTAGTCATGCAGCCTATTATGATTTTGTCTTTTATCATGTTAGTTCTCTTATTCTTCCGTGAATGTCTGCTTTATTTATGGCACTCCTGTCTATTTTTAGATTTCTCTCACTTTTTGCAGAGCTATTCATCATTTGCCTGTTTTTATTTGTTCCGAATTTAATTGTACAATATATTTGTCTCCGTTTCTTCATGTCAAGAATTTCATCTGTCATCCAATACTTTTTTGCTTACCTACTTTTCTTTGGGAGGATCTCGTTTGCTGATCTTGCTAAAGGTTTTTATTTTATTGTCTCTTGCTTCAATTCTCTACTACAATTATATTTGCTTTTAACGCTGTTCGTATATATTCCCTTCAAATTCGGATCATTCAGGTGTCTGTTATATTGCAATTTGGGGGCTGACTTAATCCTTTGAAGTTTCTGTAGTTGCAGAATCTCTGAATATATCACTGGTGGATTTGGCAATATCGTAAAAAAACCATTGTTGATCGTTAACCTTTCTTTCTCCTCTTAAAAAAAACCACCAATTTTTTTTTAAGATAATAAAAGTAATTTACTGAGAATTAAAACAATAATTATTGAATATATATACTTTAGTAAAAATTAGATTTCTTTACGATTTACTTTATTAATTGAAAAAGATATTTACTACTTAAGGCTTTCTCGATCCTGCGTTGACTCAGTTCCGCGTTGTCACAGCGCTCAGTAGACAGTGTTGATTTGTCCCTACCCGTACCTCTGAGAGCTTCCCCATGTCCACATATATATATATATATATATATATATATATATATATATATATATATATATATATATATATATATATATATATATATATATATGAATAAAGACACACACACACATATATATATATATATATATGCTTAAACGTTATTTTTAGTGGATAATTGTATCTGAGTAAGAGTTTCGTCCATTCACTAAACATTATAATAACTTATTTTCGTCTACTAGCCTTAATATTCGACAAATCTCATTGCAGAAAAATATGGGCTATTCACCAGGATTTGGTCCTGCGTTCACCTAGGGGAAGCCATCATTAGATCCTGACGGGCTTTGACGTCTTCGCAAATATATATATATATATATATATATATATATATATATATATATATAGTGGCAATCTTGAAATTTTGTTCTTGATTTTCTTCGTCAAATGTGCAATGGAAAGCAGCAAGACCTACCGTGAAGCAGTTGTGGTCCAATCCGATACACGGCATGTGAATTTATAATATAATGATTTAAATCAGCAATAGATTGTCGTCTAATGTTGTACTGAACTATATAGCAACAAATGTTGGACAATTTCCTCAATGGTAAAGAAGACAAATGAGGTAATATTGAAGTTTTCTACAGAGGAATGCTAAAAATTCCATAGACAGAACCTGTGAAAAACGAAGACGTTTCCAAAAAATCTTAAAATTAAAAGAATGCTTATGTATACAATCAGAAAGAGACAGTTGATATTTCTGGGACACATTATGAGAAAAAGGGTTGGGAGAATAAAACACTAGCAGAATATGCTGTACGCAAGATGGACAGAGACAAACATCGTGTGACCTGACTTGCAAGTTTTTGTCAATGGATAACAGTGAGCAGACAAAAAGGGAACGTAAATGTTTAAAGGAGATGCAAGGGACACAGGCGTTTGGAGAGCCATGATAAACTTCGTCGTGAAGAGACACAGTAAATAAAATAAATATGTTATCTTGCTATATGTTGTAATATATGTTGACTTTGATTAACTCCCTTTGTTATCGCTATTTCTGTTAGTTTACAATTTGGGCTATTGTTTATATTTTTGGCTATTGTTACCAATTTGTCATTTATATTTTTTATGTCATTTCAAAAATATTAAAAGCAAAGGAAACTGTTATATAATATGAATCTTTGTATATGGTAGTGAATGCCAGAAAATTTCCTCACAGAGGAAGAAGCGACTCGAGTTAACAGAAATGTGGTTCTACAGAAGGATGCTGAAAATACCATGAACGGACCATGCGAGCGTCGACGAAGTTTTCGAGGGAACGGAAATTAAATGACACTCATGCATAGAATCAGAAAGATATAGTTGAGATTTCTAGAGGACATAATGCGGAAAGAGTGCTTAGAGAAAATGACGCACACAACACAGACTGGAGACAATTAGGAAGCAGGAAAACAAATAACCAACCTAAGGAGCCTTGTGTAAATGGTTGCCAGAACAGAGATTAGGACGATAGCCAAAGGACAAAACTTAATAAGAGATGCAAAGGCAGGTCGTTGTGGAGAACCAATATCACCCACGCACTGAAGAGGCACAGAACATAGAAGAATATATTGTAAAACAGTTTTTCATGAATGAAAATGTTGAATTGCATAATAGTACTTGGCATAGATGAATGAGTAATGATTAGACATAGCTAGATAGATAGACAGACAGACAGACAGACAGATAGATAGATAGATAGATAGATAGATAGATTGTATGCTGAAAGATGATTTGGATTTGTATACTGATGTAAGTAAAAAACAGTGCGATAAATTTTCTTCCCTTGCGTCTAGTTGTGGGTGGTGTGAACGGTTTAAACGTCACCCGTTTGAATGCCCGTGTGTCGGGATTTGAATGTGACCGTGTTAGTTGCAGCATTTATTTTTTAACTTGCTTTATGTTGAAATCTAAGAAATAACACAAAACAAGTCAAATACGAGAGACATCCACGTGTTAGAAATTTAATCGCTTTCATTAATTGGCTCTGAATGGTCGATCGTATTTTCCTTGTTTCACAGCTCGACCCAGAGAGAATTCATTCCCAGAAGTTGCTGCCACCTGGTCACACACTTCTTTTCGATTTACTTTTTTTTCTCTCTCATTTTCCTTTTTTTTTCATTACTTTTTCAGTCTTCAAATTTCTTACGATTTCAATTCTTTCTCTATTTTTCTTTTCTTGAAATTTTTATTCCCTTTGCTTTTAACTTTTCCTTTTTTTTCTATCCTTATCCATCGTTCATTCGTGCTTCTCTCTTTCTGTGTGCCTTTCTCTTTTTTCTTCCTGTCCACCCCAATGTACATTTATATAGTTGACATTTTTTTTATTCTTTACTTCCTTTTTTATTCTTTAATTTCTTTTTTTTTACTTTCTTTCTTTCTTTCTTTTCAGATAATTTTTTTCTATTGTATCCAATGTTTTTCTTTAATTTTTTCAGCTTTTTTCCTTCTTTTTAAATTAATTTTCGTTTTAACATAAACAATTCTTCTTCATTCTCACTTTTCCTTCCGTTTTACTGACATTCTCCACTACCGATCCGAATTGGATTTATTACATTGTCCATCTGCATATCATGGAGTGATCTCTGTTTGAAATCACATGAATCTCCAAAATATTCAGTCCTTTCCGCCGAACTATCGACATCGAGTCATATACCAGGTGTTATTTGGTCGTCGTAATATCAAACGCTCTACATTGACTTTACATCCCTTTTGCAATTCTCTTTTATGGTTCTTGTATTCATCAATCTCCTTATTCTCTATCCTATTCGTGAAGTGGGCAACTAGGATAGTTATATTAATTTTTGATCCAATTATTATTATTATTATTATTATTATAATTATTATAATTATTATTATTATTATTATAAAGATCAAGACGTTTCGGCTTTTATTACTTTCCTGTTAAGCAAATATTGCTGGCAGACAGAAATTATCCCTTTCAACAAAGATGTCCATTTAAATTTCATTCAAATAATGTTTATATGTACATTTGAATGTGCGAACTTATATTTTAACTCAAGGCAACTTATATTTTAAGATACCCAGCTAGTTCAAAAGAATACCTCATTATTATTGTTAATAATAATAATAATAATAATAATTTTGGGCGTGAATCAGAGTGGTTAGAACGTCCTGCCAGGAGCCCCGGGTCTTGACATCTTCATAATATTAGCGTAGAGAGAAGGTTCCAACACTGTTGGGAAGTCTCTAGAATCTATATCATAGGCTGATTTAAGATTAGTGAATGTAATTTCTGAGGTTAATCTGTTCGGAGGCCGTCAGTGGTTGTGCTCTTACGAGTTCACTCGTCATTGATCACTTCAACTACGGTCCTTATTCAACTGATGATCGCCTCATATTTAGCGCTCTATCCCAGACGCAATTACTACGGTTTATCCATCATAATTGCTGTATAAACATCAGGTTAGCTCTGATGAAACAAATGTCCATATGCAGGCATCTACAAAAGGGTGATTAAAGGATGAATAAATAATAATAATAATAATAATAATAATAATAATAATAATAATAATAATAATAAATAGGTGTTTTGTTAAAATAGATGTTAATCCCAACCGCGTCTCTTTGTCTCCTTTATTATTTTGCATATCACTTATAGCATTAACCAGCCAACTTAACAAGACAGAATGCGGTTACAAAATAGCTCAAAAGAAAATAAACCATCTATTTTACATGGATGACTTAAAATTGTATGCTAGGAATGACAATGAGCTGGAAGGTCTTCTGCAAACTGTAAAATGCTTCAGTGAAGACATTGGAATGAAATTCAATTTGGATAAATGTGCTAAAGCTACAGTTTTACGAGGATCAACAAACTTCCTCTTATTAGTTTAGACCCTGCTGTAACAATAAAAGATTTAGAACAAGGAGAAGCTAATAAGGAATAAAGAAATAGTGCGTAAAGAGTACTATAGAAGGGTTCCGACTGGTATTAAAAACTGAATTGAATTCTCAGAACAGAATTATGGCCATTAATAACCTTGCCATCCCAGTGGTCCAATATAGTTTCAACATCTTGAACTGGACTCTAAAATGACATCAGACAAATGGATTCTAAAACAAGAAAGCTTCTTTCTAAGTATAAGATGTATCATCCAAAGGCTGATGTAGACCGTCTATACATACCCCGTAAAGAAGGTGGAAGAGGTCTTATTCAGCTAGAATTGTCATACAAGACAACAACTATTGGCTTACTAACTTACATGGAAACAACAAATGACTGGATGATAAAATTAGTGAAACAACATGAAAACAGAAAGAAAAAATTGAATACAAACAACATTTACATTTAGTAGATTCTGTAGTAAATCAAAAACAGAAGCCAAGAACCAACTATTGCAGCAAAAGATATGAAAAAAGAAAGCCAAGTAAAGCCCTTGAACAGATGAAACAACGCTGGCAAGACAAACCTCTGCATGGCCAATATCCAGAACGTGCAAATAAACCCAATGTTGATAAAGTTAATATCATCGATGGTTACGAGCATCTGGATTAAAGTCTGAAATTGAAGGCTCTTCTTGCAGCGCAAGACCAGAGTCTTTTCAACGGCAAATATCATACATAATAATGTGGATCCAAAATGCAGGTTCTGTGACAAATACCAAGAAACAATAGACCATCTAATCTCAGGATGTTCTATACTTGCCCCAAATGAATATAAAAATCGTCACGATAGATCCATCATGACAATGTGCAAACACTTTGGAAAATGTGTAAGCAAACACTGGTATGAACATCGGCCAGCGCCGGTTACAGAAATAGAAGATGTCACCATTCTATCCACACAGACAGAAAAATTGAAGCAAATAGGCCGACATCACACCATTGTCAAAAACCAGAAAAAAAACTTGCCTACTAATTGATATGGCTTGTCCAGCGGATTGTTTAACCAAGGAATTTGAAAAACTATCAAAATACAAAGACCTGGAAATTGAAATAGAAAAATGTGGAAAAACAAAATAATACCAGTGGTAATAGGTGCACTGAATTATAAAAATGGAACAAAACAACACATTGAAAGAATCCAAGGCATCTACAAAAATTGTCTTATTAAGTACAGCACACACACTAAGGAGAACTTTGTCTATGTAACGCTAGCAACTTCATCGGATGAATAAATAATGTGGCTATAACAACACCACGACCTAATAATAGGTATAATCGAATGATGATGATGATAATAATAATAATAATAATAATAATACTTTATACTTTTGTTTCGCACTAATCGTCCTAAAATCTCAATTATCAGGCCATCCCATAAGTTCTCTCCGAATTTTACCTTTTTTAAGATGAACAAAATTTAAAGAGTATTTTATAATGTCTAATGGAGCTGAACATTATTTTTATGTTTAGATGCATTTAAACTGATCAAATTTCATTTCAGAAAACAATAAAATTAAGTTTTGTTTGAATAAAACCCTGCTAACATGGAAGTACCCAAGAATCATTTGAGGCACATAATGCTTTATGAGTTCAAGGAAGGAAACTCAGCAGCCGAAGCAGCTAGAGACATTCATTCAGTTTATGGAGAGGAATGTGTGAATGAAAGAACTTGCAGAAGATAGTTTGTAAAATTCAGAGGTGGAGATTTCACCCTTGAAGATGAAGATCGAACCGTACGTCCAGTTGAGTTTGATGAAAAGCTTCTTGAAGCAGCCCTTGAAGAAAATCCTGCTTTATCAGTTGAGGAATTGGCAGTGGTTCTCAGTTTAAACCATGCAACTGTTCATCGTCATCTTCAACAACGTGGAAAAGTTTCTAAACTTGGAAAATGGGTGCCTCATGAATTGTCTGAAAACAACCTCAAATCCCGAGTTGACATCTTCTCTTCTCTCCATTCTCGCCAACTTGTTTCACCTTTTTTGCATAGACTTGTGACTGTCGACGAAAAATGGATCTTTTATCGAAATGTTAAGCGTCGTAGAGAGTGGCTTGGAAAAGGGGAAGGACCCCAACCTCAGCCGAGAAGGGAACTTCATGGGCAAAATGTTCTTCTTTCAAAAAAATCTGGTTGGATCGCCAAGGAATAATCCACTTTGAATTCTTACCACCTAATGCAAGAATTACTGCTCAAATATACTGTCAGCAATTAGAGCGTTTGAACCAAGCTTTGAGATAAAAAAAGACCTGCTCCTGTGAATCGAAAAGAGGTGATATTTCATCAGGACAATGGGCGACCCCACACAACAAGAATCACGTCACAACAGATCGAAGAACTTGGTTGGGAGAAAATTCCTCATCCACCTTATTCTCCCGATCTTTCTCTTTCAGACTACCATTTGTTTCGTAGCTTACAGAATCATTTGGAAGAAACAGCTTTTGTAACACAGGAAGAGGTTAAAACTGACATTTGTGAGTTCTTCGAATCAAAGCCAAAAGAATTTTACAGTAATGGAATTAGTAAGCTTGTTAATAGATGGAAGGAAGTCATAGATAATCAGAAAAATACATTGTTGATTGAATCTGTAATTAAATGTAACATTTGGTCACTTGTTTTCTTTATTCAAAATTCGGACAGAACTTATGGGATGACCTGATAGATAACTCAAGGGACAACAAGGTTTTGTATCATATGAAGAAAACAGATCTACCATCAGAGAAAATGTAATTTTGGTCATTGTATGAGGAGAAATATACGCAAGAAATGAACAGTACCTGTGCATAATATCTTCCGGGAAGTTGACCTATATATTTGCTTGTGCATTTTGATATAATTGTAAATGCCCAACTATCAACAGGTAATGTTTTAGTCTTCACATACCATAGTCTACTCATTTCTATCACGAGGTATTTGAATATATTATTATTATTATTATTATTATTATTATTATTATTATTATTTCTTCCTCATTTTTTTTTTCTCCATTTCCTTGTTTATATTTTTTATTCGATCTTATTTTTTGGAGTCTAGAGTTCTTTTCTTTTTCAGATGACTTACTTTTATTTCTTCTTCTCTCTTCCGTCATGACAATTTTCTTCTGGTTTCACTCCTTTTTCCTGTTTCCTGCTCTCTCATTTTTAAAGCAACCGAAACCAAATGAGACCAATGTCGGATCGCGTGACATAAGGACTTCTTGCATTGCAAACAACAAATAAAAAAAAAAAACAACAAGCTAACAGATATTTCCACTCAATATTACTGTCTGCAATTATTTCTGTTTTTCTTTCTTTTTTTTCTTCCATCATATATACTGAAAAAGCAATGCTATTTCTTAGAGTTTCGTTATTTTGTATAGAGTGCACTTTTTTCTATTTCTCTGAGAATAAAAAAAAAATGTTGAATTCGTCGTCTGATACAGATTCGGACTCGTTAAGAGCTGAAGTGGAATTTTTATACAGATACTACTACTACTACTAATACTAATACTAATAATAATAATTGGAATGTCATTTAAAAAAAAAGGGATGGTGAAAAGTTGTCGGTTTGACCGAGAGGTTATTCAAAAATATTTATATTCAAGCGATCTACATTCTTTGATTCTATCAGTCCAGAATTTAACAGCTAAGACCTGCTAATCCACGCACACTAGGTCGACACCTTCTCATTTCGTTCATATTCTATTGGTATTTAGCAAGTTCTTCACCAGAACTGTTGCAATGCGGAAGTGGCTCCAGAGAGAATGCTTCCCTAACCACTACAATCTTCTAGTCAATGGTCAAACGTTATCTATCCTACATATACTCATAGTATGCAAATATTACTCCTTCCTTTTACGCCCTTACAACAACTTTGTTTAATAACCCATTACAATCAATCAATCAATCAATACAAATCCCTAGCGCCATGAGTGGCGCTAGGGATTTGTATTGATTGAACAATAGTACAAAAAAAAAAAAGAGAAAGAAATTTTCGAGTGACTGTGTGATTAAAATGTTAGCATTTCCACTCAGGTTGAAATCACAACATAGTAGATTTCTCTCAGATTTGCCTTCTTGATAATATGGGCCTGAAGAGATAATCTCAATGTGTAGCATAATTGAGAATTTTCACGAAAACCATAATATTGATGGCTCAAGCGATAGATAGCGAAAGACTAGCAAGGTTTTGCCCGTGTTCGAGATGTTATTCACCTGTTATAAAAGTTGTAGAAAACATTCCAAGAATATAGAGAAATGAGGTAAGAGTAGAAATAGAAAGACATTTTGAAACGTCTTTATCCTGCACTGCGCTCATTCTTAAGAGATGATGAAGATAATGTCAGGCTAGATGCAACCGTAAGTTACATTCTAACTGTATCTCCTATGGTACTTCTCGCTTGTGAAATTGACTTTTGGCTTCTTGCTTCCCAGTCAACTTTGATCTTCAAGAATATAAATGCAATGTTAATCGTTATCTTCTGTTTTTCTTAACGTTTTTATTGTCTTCTTCTTAATAGTTTTTTCTTATTTCTCTAACACTCAGTAACCCCCTTGCATCCTAGTGGCTTTGTTTTTCTTCAAAAATTAAAATTGTCCTTTATTCTTTTTCTTAATTATTGTTTTTTTCCTTTCTTATATTTTTTTCCTTATATTATCTAACACTCAGTAACGTCATGCGTCCTAGTGACATTTTTGCCTTGCTTGGGGTGAATGTTTAAAAAAAATTATTTTAATTGTCCTTCAAATGTCATGTACTTATACTAGGCTGGTAATCACTAAAATAGGAGAAGTGATATAGTATCCTTTAGAAAATGTGCCAACATTACAGCGTCGATTTAGCCCACTAGCAATGGTTAGATATATTAAATTGTCAAACATCAATCTACTGATCACATCTATTAGGTTTATCTCTGCTTTTCAAATGTATGTCTCCTTTTTAATGGTCATTTTCTTTCAGAACGTAGGCGATCATGGCTCTCCACAGATTCTGTTTCCTATTATTTTTTGAATTTTCATGATTTCTTGAGAAAAGTACTGGAACGCTTTCTCGTTGCTTATTCATAATTTTGTATTCGACGTTGTCCTTCATCTAGACTGGCCGCCATGCATGTCACAAGATACAAGCCTATTCCAATTGAACCGTGGGGAAGAGGGGATGATATATATTTTTCCTATAGGGATGTATTTGAAAGTGAACGCAACATAATCGGCTGGATTTTCAACCTGTCTGACAGAATCTTCTTTACGTAACCATAGCAATTGCGCTACCCAGTTTTTTTTTTATGACCAGATTCCTTTATATATTCATATTTTTCAATCTAACCCGGCATTTTCGCCATCTTAAAAACGAAAAACTTCTTCAGAAAAGTGCTTATAAAGCAAATTGGAATTGCATTAACTGCAAAAGTCTCTTGTTTGGGTGCTCTTCTGTTTAAAGAGTTAGTTTTGTTATTCGTCAAGATGGCTGACTGTGACGTTGGCCTGTATGCAGCTTGTCTGGTATTGATGTTAGAATAGTTGCTGGAAATGTAGGTAACATGTTTGTCCTAGAAGCGATTCAGCGTGTAAATTCTGTTAAAGACGTTAGTTTCACCTCCCGTCAATTTTAGATCGTGGTGGGCTCCGTATCCTCATGATGACGATGGGGTGATCAGAGGTTTTGACTTATGTCTTTTGGTTAACCGACTGCCGCTGCTGACCGCCATTTTGTCATCCTGATTTGAGTTTGTTTTCGGGAAGAACAAACGGATTTTGATGTCACTAAATCAGTGCCGTCAATTCTTCCAACTGTGAAAAGATGGCCTACCAGGAAAATCAGCATTCTCATTTCTGGTCTTTGACTGAAACTGTCGGAGAATAACCACTTTTCTAAGCCACGTTTTGTAAAAGAAAACTATTGTTTACTCCGTAACTATATCAACAGACCCACACATACGCAGACACACTCACACGCACAGGCATATGCACACACATCCACGCACACATTCACAATCACATAAATATATATATATAATAAATGGTTTGTATGTGCCAGTGTAGATGTTATAAAATTTGGTGAAAGCAGACAATTTCTTAATTTAAAAATATGACTTGTACATTATGGCTATGTTCATAACTGATGTTATTAAGGGTTTTATAAATTCGAGATATATGGCAGGAAAACGAATTTGATACGTACCTCGAAGTTTAGGAAGCGTTTAAAAAGTGGAAGCACTTATTATAAGAAAACAACAAGAACAATCCAAGCCTTATTAATATTAATTATTAGCACGATCATTTGGAAATTAAGAATATGTGCGTTTTCAGCGACTTTTATAACATCTACAATACAATACACACAGATATATATATATATATATATATATATATATATATATATATATATATATATATATATATATATATAGATAGATAGATAGATAGATAGATAGATAGATAGATAGATAGATATGCATATATATTATACATATATAATACATAGGTATATCACTAATTACGTAGCCTAATGATGAAGAAAGCGTTTATTTTATACAACAAATATGAATATTTCAATCTCCTTCTTCTTTGGTACATTTAAACCACTGCTTATAAATTAATCGGGTCAATCGAGATTTATACAATGAATATATTAGATAAAAATTCAACTAATACCGGGTTCGGCAACAGAATTGATGATTTAATCACGTAAGCTAATTTTAATACGACCCAAGGACATAAGTGCGTGAGGAATAGAAGTAGAATCGTGTAGTTATGCCTTACTTCTCATTATATGGACTCGCCAACTTTCTGGTTAACTTGAAAACCAACATTGAAAATCCAGGCTTCTTCAAGCACCGAACTCTATCGCCAGTTAGAAATCTGCTAATAGTCCCACTTAAGAGGGATGTACACGACAGAAATGTATATTTATTTCATTTTTTTCTTTCCTTTCTAAACGGTGAAATTAACATTAACCGTCCAGTGACAATGAAGTCCTAATGAAATAAAGGTGTCCTATGTCAGGAATTGAACTTATGTTCCTCTTCATCAGAGAAAATTCTTTTAAGCTAATTCTGTTTTAGCAATAAGACTACTAGAAGCCATCATGACAAAGCAATTTCAAATTTCTTAAAATGGATAACTAACCACTTCCCTATCTCGGCGGCCTCTCGTAACCTATTAGGCGAAAATGTTCTTTATCTGATGAATAAAATGAATAATGATTCGAGTGCTACCATTTTTTTAAATTTTATTTTTAGTAGGACTTACCGATCGTGAGACTGGTTGATATTTATTTCACTGTTTTTTGGGTTTTTTTTAATGAAGAAACACGGATGTCTAGACAAACACGTTTACATACTAAGTAAAATATTTAGAGTATTTACCACTCCAACAAGCTCTTGTCGAGCGTTGCAAATCTGTCCCCTTGGCAATTCGGATCGCGCTGTAGTACATTTTGATATTTTATGTGAGTCGTCTATTAAACAAGAACTTCCTATTCGCAAGACTTTTTTTTCTTTTACCAGCGTACGGACTGAATTTCATTTAACTTGCAATTCAGATAATTATGTCCATAGTTTCTGCTATTATCTCTAAACAAAGCATTTTGACTTGATTGTATCCCTGCAATAAACCATAAGAAATGTTACCCTGACTGGAGCACCCAAGACGGAACTGCTCACTTTTGGCTTTCATCACCATGGCTGATACTAACATTCAGGAAAGTGACACATTGTGTTTTTCTCAGGATAACATTTTCCGCTGACATAAAGAGGAGAAATTGCTCGTTTTGGAGGGAGAAAAGTTATTCACTGTATCGACACTATTTTTAAAATCTATCAAATCTATCTTATACATTTATGAGCCTGCCATTCGTCCATTCTTTGAATATTGCTGTCGTATCTGGTCTGGTGCTTCTGCTAAGTATCTGCAATATTATTTGTCTTGATCTGGCATCTCGGATTCAGTCAGTATCTCTCCGCCATAATCTAACTTCCTTTTGCATTTTCTATAAATATTTCCATGGTTAATGTTCTGATGAGATTTCCGCTTTTGTACGTAGACTTTATGTATATAAACGCGGTACTAGACTGGAAGAAAAGTTCAATATTTTAACAATTGACAGGACTAGATTTAAACGTAAGTTTTATGATAACAGTTTCTTTTCTCAAAATTCTCGTTTGTGGAACCCTCCATACTTCTTACTTTCC